GCTGCAGGAAGCCTGATGAGTGGAGGAAGCCTGAGAAGGCCTCACTGAGAAGGCATCACCTGAATTTTCTGTAAGGATGGTGAGAGGTTTATCAGATAGCTGGACCTGACCATGCAGAAATGGTCAGTAGAGGAAATATGATATGAAAAACACAGAGAACTCAGAAAGTGTAGCTCACTGGTTGATAAATCCAGTTGTATTGTTTTAAGACCAAGCCCAGCTTCCAGCAGTTTTAACAGAATTATGCTGAAACAGCTAAGACACGCACTGCTTCAAGTAGCACTTAAGGAAACTGTGTCTGTCATGGCAATAGATTACACAGCTGCAACCCAGGACACCCACAGGGAGAAAAATCAGGGAAACTATGTCATGCTTAGGAGTATCACTTCTCTGACCATAACTACTTAGAACATTTGGAGTTCTCTTTTGAACAGGCAGTCACATTTTTGACTCAGGCTTTTTCTCAGAGAGAGATTGTTAGAATTTCTTCTGTCTCCACAACAACAACAATAACAAAAAAAAAAAAAAATCAAAAGCGGCCATTTTTAAAGTTAATTGCATGGTTGCAACCATGTACTCCCCCTCCCTCCCCCCTTATTGAATATCATTCACTTAGAACTGGTGTAATTCCCCTTCTAAATTGGAGGTTTGCATAAGTAATTATATCAAATGATGTGTTTGTTTATATCTCCAAACCACATTCAAAGCTTGCCTATGATTTATCTTTGAAATTCAATTTCATCATGTCAGTCCTCAATTTACTCTGCCCAGTGGATCTACAGTTACATGCGTGATGTGCTCGCCTCTCTCTTACCTAGATTACAGAATGGGATTGCCTTCCACAGCAATGAGTCCGGTGGTTGAAGAGAGAAGTTGTTCTGTTTCTTTCTCTTCTCCATTCTAAGACCCCAATGCACGCAGCTACCACAAAGTTGTTAAAAATGAAGAAGCGGCATTTGTGATTTTAACTAATTCTGGACGATGAGGAGCAACTCACTTCTTTCCTTTATGACTATATGGCAGTGCTGCTAAAGTTTTATAGTTCATGCGAAGTATGTACCTTTAGAAGAAAGAAAGCTTTTGATTCTTCTTAATATGGCTGGCCCTGACATGAAAACAAGATTTATGTTTCACTGTGAATAACTGTCAGTTGTTGCCTTAACCCAGAAAAGTTCATTGTTTCTGTGTTCCAGATTCCCATGGACAATCTTAATCATTCTATTTATTCCAACCCCTCTTCATGCCTGATGCCTAGTTTATTCCATTCATTCCTTCATTTATTCATTTACTGACTCATTCAAGTGTCTGTCTTTTCCAAATATGAAAGACTTATTAAACCTAAATGGGCAGAGTTTATGATTTCCAACTGATGTTGACACCTTTATTGATAAAGGACTTATGTAAAATAACATTCACCCACTTGAAGAATATGATTCCATACTTTCAGAATGTGTGCAGAACTGTGAAATTATAACCATAGTATCACCATGATCTTGTTTAGAAGATTCTCATCACCCCAAAAAGAAACCTCACACCCATTATCAGACAGTCCCTCTCCCCTGCCTGACTGTATTTGTCTTCCTGATGATTTCTACTTTTGACTTGGATGTTTTTTCTTGCCTTTTATTTATCTCTGTGAAAATAAAGAAGATGGAAGCCCAGAGAGCTGAATCCTACAGATGCTTTCCTGTGCTTTTTGCTCTAGGAATGGGATCTTCCTGGCTCCCCATAGTTCCAGATTCTCTATTGTGTGACATTTGGGGTTTTTCAGGAAGCCCATCTCTTTCTCTGTTAGCTAATAAATTTTATGTAAACACATTCTGGTACAGGCCTGCCCATGGAAATATGTGAAATATGGTGAAAATATGTGAATTTTCTAAAGAATTGCCCTCAGAGTCATCGGGAGAGGAAGCTGTTTCATTGTACAGTCTTGGCCTTGTGACTCCGAGTGAGGAGGAGCAATGATGACATGAGAGTCCTCAGGGAAACAGGGGGCAAAGAGGTGGCTACTCCTTTGTGCCTGGAAAAGCCACAGATGAGCAGCAGGGTGGAGGCCCATAGCCATTTCACCCATTTGCAACCTCTACATAATAAGCATGTCTCATACCCATTGTGACCTCTAACAGAGGATGCCCCCCTGAGGAGGCAGTGAGGCTGGAAGAAAGCCTCCCCTGCCTTATTAGAAGACAGCTACCCCCCACTTGAAAAGATTATCCATGACATATGACCTTGTCGGAGAGTGTAGCCTGGAAATGAAGATCCTGTGTTAGACACCTACCAGTGCAAGCAGACAGGCCTTTAATCAATATGAATCCGAGAGCTGTGCTTCCTTTATTCCTCCTGTATCACCCCATCCTCCAAATCACTCACACATCTCCCCTTTGCCCTCCCCCTGTAGCACCACATGCACACACATCAAGCCCAATGGTCCGATCCAGGTACTAAAGCAGCTGAGCGTATTTCATTCTTGGATATAGCTAGTCAGGCAGAAAAAAAAATCATGTCAATAAAGTCACAGTGAAGTTCAACAAAGGATAGTAGAATTAGGCAGCACTTTTCTTTTAGAATCAGAGGACAATCTCAGGCATCATCTCAAGGGAATCTGGTACACTAAATGAGAGATGAAATAGAGAACAAATCTGTGTTTTCAGATTTTCCCAGAAGATTCTAATGGGTATCTGGAGAAGGGAAGGTACTGACCCTCTCACTTGAAACTCTTACTGACACTCTTCATTCCATAACCTCTGACAGTAACTTTTACTTATACCCAAGAGTACTTAGCACTCTCCATTCACACAGAGGAACTCTGTAAATGGTTTTAAGTGCATGCAATGTCACATAACCTTCCCCACCCACAAATGCACTTCCCCCCACACAAAACAATACTGTCCTATACAAATACATTCTAAGTCTGTAGCAAAATTGAAGATTAGAACATAACAATCTCTTCCATGGCAAATATTGGTAGCTAAGCATTATTGAATTCCTTTTCTTTGTTATAGACAGGGAGCTAGGTGCTTCCCACCCCACTCCAGAGCTTCAGACTCAAAAGGAAGGCCTTACCCATGAAGGACCTGTCTGTCTAGTAGGAAATTACAGACATGGGAGCAAAAGATTTTTGGATAGATTAAAGAACAATGATGGAGAAGTGTACTGGTTATGTGGGGGCAAATCAGATGGGCACCCAATCCTGGAAATGAGGGTCAGTGAAGGCTAACATCTGAGCTGAATTTGGAGAATCTGGAGGTATTGCTTAGCCTGGTGAATAGAGTTGATAGTAGTGATTGTACATTTCAAAAATTGCTGAGTGAACTTCAAATGTTCTCTTCCCATAAAAATAAGTATTTTGGATGTTGGATATGTAAATTCACTTGATTTAATTATTTCACGCAGTATTCGAAAATCATAACATCACATTGGACTTAACATATATATTTATACATACACAGGCATACATATATATGTGTGTGTGTATACACACACACACACA